ATGGGTCACAATTCATGCATTAAGAAGGAGTGAAACCTCAATGCAAAGTATGCTTTAAGTTCCATTTTGGAGAATGTAGATATAAGGGACAACCTAAGTGCTACAAGTGTGAAAGATTTGGGCATTTGGCTAGGGAGTGCACTACAAACAAAGGTGTGCAGAAAGCCAATAATGCAAGTCAAATGGAAGTAGGAGGAAACTTGTTCTTTACAAATTGTGCAAATGAAGAATGGTATGTGGATAGTGGTTGCAGCAACCATATGACTGGGAACAAGAAGCTACTAATCGATATAAACACAAATGTGACAAGCAAGGTGCAGATGCTAACAGGAGAACTTGTAAGCATAACTAGTATGGGTACTTTGGTACTTAACACAAGCACTAGTACAAAGTATATCAGAGAAGTCATGTATTTACCTGGTTTGAAAGAAAATCTGTTGAGTGTGGGTTAAATGGATGAACATGGTTATCATTTGGTGTTTGGAAGCAACATGTGCAGTATTTTTGATTATTCTTCACTGGAGAATCTTGTCATGAAGGTGGTAATGAGAAAGAATATATGATATCCATTGTCACTGTCTTCAAATGACTTTATTGCACTAAGAGCTGGTATGTCTCACTCTACCTGAATTTGGCACAAAAGAATGGGGCATTTACTTTTGAAAGGGCTAAATCATCTTAAGGAAAAAGAGATGGTGCATGGTCTGCAACATTTGGAAGATGTAAGTGGAGTCTGTGAAGGCTGTCAATTTGGGAAACAACATAGAGAGTGGTTTCCAAAGAACCAAGCATGGAGGGCAAGTACTCCACTTGAGTTAGTACACACGAACTTGTGTGGGCCTATGCAGAACGAGTCTCTTGCAGGTATCAAATACTTCATGCTTCTCATAGATGACTGCGCAAGAATGATTTGGGTCTATTTCCTTATATACAAGTCTGATACACTAAACTGTTTTAGAAAGTTTAAGTATATGGTAGAGCTGCAGAGTGGTTTTAAAGTGAAATGTGTAAGAAGTGATAAAGGAAGTGAGTTCACATCCATTGAATTCAATAGTTTCTGTGAAGAAGCAAGCATTCAAAGACAATTCTCTATGGCATATACTCCGTAGTAGAATAGAATGGTAGAAATGAAGAATAGGACAGTGGTAGAAATGGCAAAGGCTATGCTACATGAGAAGGAGTTACCCTATTATCTGTGGGCAGAAGCTGTACACACTGCAATATACATATTAAATAGATGTCATACCAAGGCACTCAGAAACAAAACTCCTTTTGAAGCTTATAATACAAAGGAAACCAGGTTGTGCTCATTTAAAGGTGTTTGGCAGTGTTTGCTTTGTACATAAACCAGATGAAGGGAGATAGAAACTAGATGTCAAGAGCATAAAGAGAGTGTTTGTTGGATATGCGACTTGTGAAAAAGGGTTATAGAGTGTTTGACCATATCACTAGGAAGCTCTTATTGTCAAGAGATGTGATATTTGATGAAGGAGCAACCTGGAATTGGAAGGAAGTAGCTGAGAATCAAGTGACAGTGATGAACTATGAAGAGCGGCCTTGGAATCCTAAAGCAACACCATTTGAAACACCTGTAGGAAATCAGAATCATGATTCCATGTCAGGAAAAAATGTTTCACAAGGAGAATCAAGTAAAATAAGCAGCTGGGTGAAAGACACTCAAAATTTTGATCATACTCTATTGAAATGGGGAAAGTTGGATGATGTCTTAGCACAATGCAATATGTGCATTATGGAGCCTAAGAAATTTGATGAAGCTGTAAAGGATGAGTCATGGATAAAGGTAATGAAGGATGAGTTGTCAATGATAGAGAAGAATGCTACATGGGAGCTTGTTGACAGACCTATGGAAAAACTAGTAATTGGAGTTAAATGGGTGTTTAAAACCAAGTTAAACCTGGATGGTTCAGTGCAGAAGAATAAGGCAAGGTTAGTGGCTAAAGTATACTCTTAGAAACCAGGGGTGGACTAGAATGAAACATTTGCACCAGTGGCTAGATTAGACACAATTTAAACTCTAATTGCACTAGCAACACAGAAGAGTTGGAAGCTATACCAATTAGATGTTAAGTCAGCCTTTCTCAATAGTATCTTAGAAGAAGAAGTGTATGTAGACCAACCAGAGGGATTTGTGGTGAAGGGGAGTGAAAGCAAGGTTTACAAGCTGCACAAAGCTCTATATGGCTTGAAACATGTGCCAAGAGCTTGGTATAGCGAAATTGATAGCTATTTTGTTGAGTGTGGTTTCACAAAGAGTCAAAGTGAGGCTACTCTTTATGTCAAGACTAGAGGTGAAGCAAGCATCTTGATAATGTCTATCTATGTAGATGACATAGTATACACTGGAAATAATCAAGCAATGTTAGAAGAATTCAAGCAAGATATGATGGAGAAATATGAGATGACAGATTTGGGACTCTTGCACCACTTCTTAGGGATGAGAGTAATTCAAACAAGCAGTTCTCGTTGGTGTTTGAATTACTCTCATCCCCAAGAAGTGGTACAGGATTCGTCTGAGGTTCCGAGGAATTCGGGGCGGGTCCTGTCATAAGTAGTGAGCTGATTGAAAATGTAATTAAGCCTGTTTAGCTATGATGTATTCACTTAGTCACTAAGGATGACAAATGTTAGGCTTTAGTAGTGAAAGGCTGTACAAGCCACGTGTAATGATCTTAGAGAGAAGTTTTAGATAAAGGGATGTGATACAAAATGATGTAATAGTATCCAGCTGTTCTCTCTAATGGTAATATAGCTCACGCAGAGCTTGCTCATTTTTTCAGAGCATTGGAATGAAAACTTTCTGACGATTTGATTCATCCTGTATTCTCCTTGCTCTCTTCACCTATTCTTCACAAAACTCTAACCATGGGGTGTTTTTTTGGCATGATTGCCCAAAACGATATGTAATTTTTCTGTGCCTTTGTTATTAGATGAAATCCCATCCTGACTTGGAAGCTCGTCTGAATAAGTCATGGCCAAACTTCAACAGTTCAAAAACAAATATGGCCTTCTGGAAATATGAATACAACAAACACGGCAAGTGCTCTGATGTTAAAGTATCAACCCCAGCTTAGCCCATTTTGAGGAGCAATCTCTACAATATTCTAGAAGCACTAGAAGTGTAAACAACAAGGTGATAATACCACTAGAAATCCACATGAGGGTCGACTTTCCCAACTTTTCTCTCTACCCTCTCTCTCGTGCGTTTTGGTTTGCACCCTCTTTGTTTGAGAGTCTCCTCACCCTCTGGTGGTGATTTTGCTTGGGCTTTATGCTCATTTCTAGTGGTTCTTATCCACCCTTTCCCATAGCCAGTGTTGTTTTCCCTTTTTTTCCCCATCTCCTCTTCCTTTCCTTGTCCCAAAACTCATATCTTGGATCGCTCCTTGCTCAACTCGAATTCACACAACCTCTTCCGCTTTACTGTGTCATCCTCTTCAGATCCATGGCTCCATGTTGGCATCTGTTGGAGAGTGATTTTGGAATCTCCTTAAAGCGTTTTTGTCTCTTATTGGTCGTTGGAGGCTGTATACATCCTCCCAAGACATCTCTTTGAGTTCCTATGTTCTTTGTTCTTGGTGTTATCTTGATGGTGGAGTTGTTGGGTTCCTTCGGTGCTGGTGCGGATTGGCGGTCCTCCTTCCATGTGGTGGCAGCGGCTAGGTTTTTTTTTTATGTTTGTTTGTTATTTTGCTGGCCCTAGTTTGTTTGTTTTGTTGGGCTTTTGTTTGTTCTGGTCTGGGCTTTTGTTACTTTGTTCATTTTGTTGGATCTTGTTTATTGTGTGTGGTTGGGCCTTTTGTTATGGGATTGTGTTTGTGATCCTATGTTATTGGGCTATCTACCATAATTTCCTTATCTAATGAATTTCACGTTGACCCAAAAAAAAACCACTAGAAATATCTAGAATAAAATATATAGATCAATCTAGGAGAAAACAATAGCTGAAGTATAAAAGCCCAAGTCAGTGGAGTGGCTAAGCAAGTTGGCAGATTGAAGCTCGGAGAATAGTCTAGAAACAATTATGTAGCTAATATTATATAGCCAAGGCGGTGAGCTATGTCGGCTAGAACAACTATAAATAGGCATGAAGCCATGCATTGTAGAATCAATTAAGAAGTGAGTCAAGAAGAGTGTGAATAAGTAGAGTGAGCAACAATCTATAGAGTTAAGTAGTTCTTGTGAGAAGTGTGAGTGAAGTGAGAAACAGTGTTTGTAAGAGTTGGTCTTTCCTTTGAGAGTTGTTTGTTGTAATATTTTGCGAGTATAATACAAGTAAATTGTTTACTTGTTTTGTCTACATTAGAGTTGTGTACTCTAAATTTTCTCAACATTCGACAACCTGTTTTTGTCTACATTATTTTCCTCATATTTTTATGTATAAGTTGGATACTTTAATATTGCGCTTTACGAACTTTTTATTTTTCTATTTCTTTTCTCTGTTGGAATATTAATTATTAATTTTTAAGTGTTTAATAATATAGATGATGAAATTAGTATTCAATCAATTTAAAATATGAAATTCATGATAATTATAAAGAAAATACAAATTTTATGAAAGCAACCCTCTGATGTAAAATTTAGGCTACGCCACTGACTATAGGACGTGCATTAATTTGTAGCTAGCTAGAACACATTATTTCTGTAAGCATTTGTGAAACACGTTATATGTGAAACACGTTTATTTTTGTAAGAATATGTGAAACACGTTGTATGTTTACTGCGTACGAAAGGCACTCTATTGCCAACCACGTGTACGCTTGTTCTAAAATATTAATTTGAGCTTTCCGATCACGTGCCATTCGCGACTCATAGTAGCAAAGCTCCTTGTTATTATGGATGTTCAGACTCAGTAGATGGAGCAGAGAGAGAGAGAGAGAGAGAGAGAGAGAGGGGAACATAGATTTCTGCTATCCTTTTGATCTGCGGTACCCCAACCAACATTAACCCTGTAATTGTCAACCAATTAACCCTGTCATTGTCAATCAATTAACCCTGTCATTGTCAATCAATTAACCCTGTCTGTTTAGAGTCCAGAAAAGACAGCTGAGTTAACTGTGTAAGAGTTCGTTTGCAGCTGGTGGTTGCATTTAATTCTTGTGTAGAGGGTTGCATGTAATTCTTGTGTCTGGAAAGCTCTGTATATATTCCCTCGGGATGGATCGCCCTTCTCATCCGTAGATCTTCCTTAATATCTCCCTCCCTCTCCCTCCCTTTCTTAATTAGCATTACTTGTTAAGTTACACACTGCTTTGGATGATAGGTATATATATACCCTCATTTTTTAATTAAATAAATATCTTTTTATATAGTTCTCTTTGGCCGGCTTTTCTTTCTGTATAATATATCTATGCTCAGAAAATATGAATGTAACCATACTCAATTCGCTCTTAGTTTGTGAGTTCTAATTTTATTAAGATCCCTCTTTGAACAGGAGAAATCCGGTAGCCTGATACTTTATAGAACCCCTTAACTGCCCTAAAAAAGAGAACCTATATGGTAGCCATGTTTCCTAAATTTAAGATCCCCTTAACTATTAACAATTGCTCAACATATCAGATAAAAAAGGGAACTCATCTTGCCCAACTAATTGAAAAAGCCGATCTAATTGTTTGGTGTTAATTGTTGTTGTAGTGATAGATTTAGATGTTTACAATATCTGAGCATGTTGGTGAATCCTTTGAGTGTTTTGACAATTGGGCTTTCTTTTTTTGTTTTTGATTTTCACATTGTTTAGTTTATAGAGTTTTTGTACAAGTAAAGAAAGCCTCTGGATTACAAGGTTGTAATTTGATATGTACGCTTTTGCTGTTGTTTTTACTCTGAATTTTATCATTAGTTTTGTTTTCAATTGAGGATCCATATACATTAGCTATTGTTTTGTTTACAAAAGTTAGAACTAAAGAATCACTTTATAATATTTCAATTGATCTGCTACTGTTATTGGATTCCTGGGTATTTTTTTCCTTCTTATTTGACTTCCATATCATATTAGTACATCCACCATATAGACACATCTTTCATGCTCTATTTTTTGTTCGTCTTGCTTTAAAAAGTTTATTATTAAATTTTCTTGAGCATGGTTTTCTTTTGTTTATTGTAAAAAAAAAAAAAAAG